AATAATTTCTGGTTTCTATATATATCAGTGAACATCTGTTTAATTCATCTGTTTAAATCTGTTTATGTTCACTGGTATGCACACAATGAATTTTTTGAATGAATCAAACATACTTAAGATTTAATATAATTAAGAAATAAAAAATGTCTTTTACATTTAATCCACCAAACATAATACTGCAGCAACAAACACTCGTAAAAAATGGCAAAAATAGCAAAAATGGTAGGGCCCTCCAGAATTGTAGTTAGTCCTTCAACAGCAACAACTCCTGCATCTCTTGCCGTGAATCTTGAATCACCTTTGCTGTATTAATTTATTAATTTAACACCTAGTTCACTAACAGACCCATTGTCTCAAAGTGAAGATGACATAAAATGACTAAAAATATTTACCTCGGAGATGGAGACTGAAAATCAAGCCAACGGCACCGGCGATGGTAGTGCAGAAAGGTGATGGAGCTGGAGCAAAGTGAAGCCCAATAATTTGCAGTCTCAAGAAGAAAATTTCAGTGGATTAGTGGAGAATTTTTAGACTTTAGTGGAGAGTGGAGACTGCAGATGCAGACTGGAGAATTTGAGAGTGAGAGAGATGAGTACGGCAGACTGGAGAATTTGAGAGTGAGAGAGATGAGTTCGAGTGCGGCTGTGTGCGGGACTTGAGTACTTGATGCAGTGAATAAACTTTTAGGGCATAAGGGATTTGGGGCTTTTCGCTTTTGCCTTTGAAAATAAAAACTAACCTTTTTTTTTTTTTTTTTTTTTTTTTAAATAAAACCGGTTACCGGATACCCGGTTTCCTTAAAGTAAATAACCGATACCCGAACCAAAAATTCGGTTATCTCTTTATGATTATCCGAAACCGACCCGATTTTTCGGGTTCGGTTCGGTTCGATTACCGTGTTCAGTTCGGTTATCGGTTTTTTTTGCACAGCCCTAAGTTAGACTTCACATATGCTTGACTAATTCAAATTCTCCCTGGACACCCCCTTCTCCAATAGCAAAACAGTCCCCCACTACCCTTTTCCTCCTAGCCAGCAACTCCACCACCTCATTCCCTTAGCCAGCAGCGCCCACCTTGATCACTCCCTCGACAGCACCACCTCCCACCTTACCATCACATGAATTGGATGATGAAGGGTTTGCCACCAAGGCACTCCAGCATCTCCTTCTCTATCTTTCGCTATTGCCAATTCAGTGGTTTGGATTGGTTTGATTTACGGTAAGGGAAGTTAGAGTTAGGGGTTTGATTTGGGAAAGTTAGGATTATGGGTTTGATTCATACATTTAATTGAGTTGCTATATTAACAAAACAAATTTTTTGTTCAATGGTTCTACAGATATATTGATCCTAATTCAAGTCACTGTAAATATATATTTGTGCGTGTATTTTGCTACGATACTGTCTCAATAATATTAGTGGAACGGATCGAACACGACCCAATTAATGTCTACTTTGCTTATAAAATAATAAATAGGGACGGTGTCATCATCCAGAGGTGGGCTGAAGCAGAAATCTACAAGAAATGAAAAGTTAAGTACACGCCAAAGGAAGAAGACTTATTTTTAATGGTGGAATTCACAGTATTTTAAATGAAACTGCAGATCCCAACCGGCGTTGCAACCATTCAAGACAAAGAACTGTTAATGTATTTTATTTAAACATGATGATCTACAGAAATTAGGGAGGGAATCATTAGAATATTCAATTAGTAGGCAAATCAATGCACAATCATCCAATGAAAACAGTAGCCCCAGCTAGCAAGAGTCCTTATTTTGGCTGAATCTTCAACAAGAAGTCAACTGTGAGCAAGAAGTAAAGCAATTAATTGATCAATAATTGAGGAAAATATCTATCATATATAAGGGCCTCACATTCCTCTCCCATCACTGTCTCATAAATGAGACACTAGCTCATAACTCTTCTCATTTAGTAGTTTCTTGCATCTAAAAGCATGGTGAGGAGGTTCAGTAAAGAAGTTACAGGAGATGGAGCAAGCAAGATTTCTTACCAGAAGAATCCTTTCAAAGCTGGGATAGCTACCTTCTTGTGTTGTCCCAGACACGTTTTTGGTTCAAGGATCGTCTCATAAGCAGGTCAGATGATGCCAATGAGATTGATGTGCTTCGGAAACAAACTGAGAATGACATGAAACGTTGCCTAACCTAGTGGAATCTCACCTGGCTTGGATTTGGTGCGGTTATTGGAGCTAGTATCTTTGTGCTCTTTGGACAGGAAGCTAATAGCGATGCTGGACTAGCCATTATTTAATTCTATGTTGCTTCTGATGTTTCTGCAATGCTCTCTCTCTTCTGCTACATGGAATTTGCAATAGATATCCCAGTAGCAAGTGGATCATTTGCTTACTTAAGAATTGAATTACGAGACTTTGCAGCGTTCACCACAGCTGGAAACATACTTCTTGAAAGCCTTTTAGGAAGTGCAGCAGTTGCAAGATCATGGACTTCTTATTTCACAACTATTTTGAACCATCAAACCAACTCATTAACGATCCACACTAATTTCACGGATGGGTACAATCTCGGGACCCCATAGCTGTTGGATGCCTAGCAATTGCAGCAACAATTTAATAAAGGGAAAATAGTGTTAAATTATGATTTAGCTTTGTGTCTATTTCTTTATTTGATTTTCTTATTTATTTAGAGTTTCATAACAGGAATTCAAGTAGTGTTTTATTTTAATTGAATAATCACAATACAATTTTACTAAATTACCTTTACGCATTTAGCATCTAAGGCAGATAATTATTTCAAATAACAATTAGCAACTAAATTGTTAGTCGTTAAAAAGAAAAAACTTTATGCGTCTAACATTTATTTCCATGTTTAGCGTCTAAAATTAATATTTTGTAACTATTTGATTAGTTGCAAAACAATTTACAATAGCGACTAATTTATTTAGTTGACAATTTTTGGGCGGAAATTTTTCCCGGTAAAGCAGAACAATTGGCATCTAAATATGTGACTTAACATCTAATTTTTTCTAAATAGAAAACAATTATTGGCATCGACACTATAGTAGCTAAATTAGATGACAAGTATTTGTTAATTAATTGGTAACTATTTTGATTAGTTACAGAATAACAAAATTATCGAAATATCCAAAATTTTGACAATAATTACAAAGGGGCCAAGGTATATTTAGCAACAAATTATTTTGTGCATATTAAAAATAGTTACAAAACCGCATCTATAACTACTAAATTGAATTTAGTCGTCAAAATTAATTGAAGTTTTCATGTTCCCACCAAATTTTTGTGTTCTTGCCATACGAAATTTGGCAACTAAAATTTTAGCTACTAAATATGATTTGGGTAATACTATGCTGATAAACAAATCTCACAAATATTCTCTCACAAACCCGATGTGACACTAAGTTAGCATTACCATGTCAACTCATGACTTTGACTTGACGTGAACGATTGTTCCTCATGGATGAGCAACCGTTCATCGTATAAGGAACGACCACTTCTTAAGGATGAACGATCGTACATCATATAAGAAACGATCATTCCATGAGGAAGGAATAGTCATTACATAGGAAGGATGGTCATTCCATCATATAATGGTTGTTCCTTCAGGTGGAATAGCCATTCGTTCCTAGGAGAAGGAATAGCCATTCCATGAAGAACGGTTGTTCCTCATCCAAGGAACAACCATTCCATCCAAGAAATGATCATTCTATCCAAGGAACAACCATTCCTTCATTCATAATTGTCGTTCCATATAAAGGAATAGTCGTTTCTCAGTTCTAGTTTTGCGCCAGTTTTGGTGGGGGCTGAGTTCTAGTTTTGTGATAGTTTCGGTGGGCTGCCAACTCAAGTGTCACGTGGGGTTTGTGAGATGTGTTTATCAACCTACCTTTATTCATTTAATCTACAAAATATGAAATATATTAATAGTAACTAAAAAAATAGTTAAAAAAATAATGAGGAGCAGAAATGACCAAATTTTTTGTTTATTTACTAAAAACCCATTCCTATATATGTATAGATAAACCCAACCTAATTCCCAATCCCTAATTCCCCGATTTCCCCTTTCAATTTGCCCGCATCTTCTCTTCTTTTCTCCACTCACTACTGCAGTATATTCTTCTTCTCGGCTTCATTTATTCATTCAATCTTCTTCTTCCATAGTTTATTCTTCTCCCCCATCTTCTCGTCCGATTCCAATCCGTGTTTTGAAGTTCACAAATGTGAGTAAACCGAAGTTCACAAATTTAAATAAACCGAACCTAGTTTCATGTTGTAACTGATCTGGTCATTCAAATCTCACTTGTGTCCAAACATTTTTTATTAATTGACTTTCTTCAGGCGGTCAAAGTGAGAATTTAGATGTTAAGAGATTGGGGTTGTTGGGTTTTGATAATGGCTTAAGTAACCAAGACTCTATGGTAGATGACTTTCTGTTGCCTCATGTAATTTTGTGGATGCCTTCCTCTTTTTTATCATTCTATCTGACTTCTTGCCATTTGTTTGTGTGTTTTTTGATTTATCTACTTTCCATGCTTGTTCTTTTTCAAATTAGAAATGCAAGAAATTTTACTTTCGTAGAATGTTAGTAACAATTGTTAAAGCCAATGTTAAATAAGATTTGACTGGTTGGTACCCGATATTTTGATGATTAAAACCTAGTGTGCATCATTTTAATGACTGAGAACTTAATTTACATGAAACAAGTGTAGGAAACACAATTGTTGTGAGAACTCATAAATTTGGTATTGGAGGTTGGTTCTAGAGCGAGCTTATGTCTGGAAACAACTACAACAGTAATTTCTCCCCTGGTCCAAGTACAACAAATCGTCTGGAACTGCTCTTAAGAGATAAGAAAGAAAAAGACCTAAGGAAAAGCTGCAGGGCATCCCTTCTGATTGAGGCGACTGATAATGATGGGGGGCCTGAATTATATGAGCATGAACCAAGGGTAAAAGACAATGACAACTTGGGACCCTCTATTGTTGATCAAGAGTTGGAAGTGTCTGCAAGGGTGAGTGACAGAGTTGAAAGGGCAGATGGAAGGCCTTTGAAGCAGCGACTGCTGGTGGTGGCCAATAGGCTCCCGGTCTCTGCAGTCAGGAGAGGTGAAGACTCTTGGTCTCTAGAGATAAGTGCTAGGGGTGTGGTCAGTGCCCTTCTGGGTAAGTGGCATTTGAACTATCATTTCATTTGTTTGTCCATTTAAATTCTTAATTGTCTTTAATAGTTTTTGCATTGTATTTCTTGTTTTATTTGAATATCTCGTTTAGTTTTAATTAATGACATGACATTTTTCACTTGAATTGAGACACTATATGCCTTATGGATGTATTGTTTGAGGTGTGAAGGAGTTTGAGGCGAGATGGATATGATGGGTTGGAGTAAATGTGCCAGATGAGATTGGACAGAAAGCACTTACTAAAGCATTGGCTGAAAAGGTATAAAGTTCTGTCATCAAAATCATTTTGTGATTTAAGTCCTTATTCATTGTTATGTGTTTGTGACATTGGTAAGTAATGACTTTATTATATGACTTCTGACATTGGTATCTTACATATGATAAATGTATAAAATTCTTGGATGAGAAAACATAGTTCATCAACACTATATTTGCTATTTGCTATTGCAGAGGTGTATTCCTGTATTCCTTGATGAGGACATCGTTCATCAATACTACAATGGCTATTGCAACAACATCTTGTGGCCTCTTTTTCATTACCTTGGACTTCCACAAGAAGACCGCCTGGCCACCACCAGGAGTTTCCAGTCTCAGTTTGCTGCATATATAAAGGCAAATCAAATGTTTGCTGAGGTTGTAAACAAACACTATAAGGATGGAGATGTTGTGTGGTGCCATGACTACCGTCTCATGTTTCTTCCAAAGTGCCTAAAGGACCGCAACAGTGGAATGAAAGTCAGTTGGTTTCTCCGCACACCCTTCCCTTCTTCTGAAATCTGCAGGACACTTCCATCTCGATCAGATCTGCTGCATGCAGTTCTGGCTGCTGATTTGGTTGGGTGAGTTTTTGTTGTATTTTGCATGTTGCTTAGAACTGATGAATTTTACTCAGAAACTCAATTTTGGTTGTCATGAATGTTTCTCATAGTAAGGTTATAGCTAGGTTATTCTTTGATCCGATGAATGCTATAGTTAATAACCTAAAAGACGATAGGCATATTTCTGTTTACACCAACTTTTGTTGCATTGACCTAAGCCTTTGTATTTTAGTTCTTGCAATGTGAGAAAATTAAGTGGGTGTAAGGAAAAGCTGTTGTGGGTTTCCCATAATTTATGATGTTCTTCTATCATGAATCTCTGGACAACTTACTATTCATATTAATCCCCTGGCTTTATCCATCTAAGGCCTATTGTTAAGTTTGGCATTTCTTAAAGATCCCTTTATCTTAGGTAATTATTAGTTTAATCTTTTCCTTAATTTAGCCTGTTTTGTGATTAAGTCAAAGGTCAGATTGGTTTCAGAATGACATCTCCTATCAGCGTCCAAATTTTTTGGATTTACCAGTACTTTTTCCTCACTGAAAGGTACATTTTTCAAGTAACTGAATAGTCACGATACAATTTTATTAAATTACCCTTACGCATTAAGCGTCTAAGGCATATGACTATTTCAAACCAATATTCCGAAAATCGGACCAGACTATGTCTCGTTCAAGAGTCTGGTTTCCGGTTTGATCGGTTGGATCGGTCGGTTGGACCATTTTCTGTAAAATCATTTTTAGTCCTTGAAGGTTTGAAATTCATCAAAAACACCCTTGTCGCGAAGAGACTGGTGAGTGGTGGTGGCAGCAACGATCGACAGCCAATCGAAGTTGGAATCATGGGGCTTTTTATGTATAGGTGCCGATGAATCTTATGGTGGTGCTAGGGAGTTCCATCAGCGCCGGAACTCGTCGGAATCAACAAAAGAAATCCGACGGTCACCTAAACTTTAGGTGGACGACGAGCGACGAAGGCTGGATGACGACCACTGAAAATGGATGGGTTTTGTCATGGAGATGCCATCACGTTCAATGGTGGTGTTTTCTTCGTCGAACGATGTCGGAATCCGGCGGAATTGAACTGTAATTGGACCGCGACTCGGCAGCATTTCGACGGTCCAACTGCGGCTCAATCCGATTTAACGGGAAATGTCGGTTTTGATGAGGTACCGGATCGGAAATATCGTCGGCTCTCGGTCGAGCCTAATATTTAGTTGTCCATTCTTTTTGGGACAACGATTGTGTAACTAAATAGTGACTACGTAAATTTAGACGTACACGACAATCAGCACCTAAATTGGACGGCTTGCTTCTAATTTTGTTAGACGTTGAAAGTCATTTTTCTTGTAATGGTAATGATGATAGTCTTGGTAAAATTAGAATAATAATTTTAATAAATATGTTGGATGTATTATTTGATTTTGAAATAAAATTAATAGGTGAATATGTGGTACGTACCACCTGGTATTCTAGATTTCTCTGCTTGGCATAACTTATTGGACTAGAGTTAATTGAAAATGGACTTCTGAAGATATTTATAAAAAAAAAAAAAAAAAAAAAATTAATTTATAATAATAGGGTCATTATCACTGACATTTAGAGCGAAATTAAAATCCTACCACGAAAGAGTTTTCATATACCTGCAGGAAAACGTAAGTGGTTTTGAAAGTGAAATGTGAACTAACAAAGAATTTACTCTATTTTCCATGAGAAATTTCCAGGATGCATGCATATGGCATGATACATAGACAAGTCGTCTCTCATTTTAGTGCTTTCCCTTTCATTGATTTGGTGACATTTATTTCCCCCAATATTTGATTATTCTTCAGCTCTTATCTGGTTGGAAGACCATAAATATATTGACTTGAAGAAACCCATTTCCTTCGAATTTTAAACTTCCTTTCCCGATATGGTTACGAACTTAATTCAAGACATAGCAACATGTTCCGGTTTCATAATGAACAAAACAACACACTACATTACACCAAACGCTAAATCGAAGAAAACCCACATCTGAAAACAAGTTTTTTCCTGAAAAACCGAACAATCAAAACCCAATGTCTTCTCTTTTCCCTCATTTTCCCAGCAACCAAACAGATCGCTAATAGGAAAATTCAACGCAGAAAAAATCAAATCAAACGAAAACTAATTTACATTCGCATATGAAATAGAGGAGAAACGAAGTAAACCTGAGTAAAAGGAGAGACCTTGATTGCCTGAGAATCAAGAAATCTGAGAGGGCTTACAGGGTTAAAGCAATAACTCGACTGCTTTGTGTAAATTTCACTTCTTTTGCCTTTAAAACGATGGAGCAACTTTAACATCCCCGAAATTTACTTAATAGGCGTGAACCCTATTAACTTTAGAAATAAATGAAGACACCCTAAAATGACAGGCACAATTTTGGGGTGTTTTTGTTAGTTTCTATAGTTTACTTTCAACCCGAATATTTTGATCTAGTTGGTTTATTGATGAGTTTGGAGCTTGCATTTATTGATATTAGCCCTTAGAGCAAAGAAGAAAACAATTGACTGATGCCTTGATGGCAAGCCCTTACTTAGTCTAGTCTAGAGCTAGGCATTTGGGACCGAGCCCAAAAGCACAGCTCCAAAAATCGATCCTAGAATCGGTCCTTAAGAGGATCGGACTGGGACCAGGCCTAAGGAGGAGGCCCCGGGCCCTCCATTGAGCCCTCCTCCAGTCCCAGCTTGGGCCCAAAAAATTTTATATTTTTTCAATATAGTCTCCTACCAAATTACATAAAACTCCCAATTAATTAAAATAAATATAAATTACGAGGACTAAAAATTTTTTTACAAAATTTATTAAAAAAAAAAAAATCTTTCAAGTCTAAAAAATTTATAAAATTTACCCCTAAAAAATACTAAAAACCCCCTATAAAATTTCGTTTTACCCCCAAAATATAAAATTTTTTTTTATATTTATATAAAAAATCCTGACCAGGCCTAGGGTCTGGTTTGGGTCCTGATTTTTCCCATGGGCATGGGACCGGTCCCAGGCCCAGGCCTGGGCTCGCAAAGGATCGGTCCCTGCCCACCTCTAGTCTAGTCTCATCAAGCGTTATTTATTATATTTGTGACTTATTTGATACCTCTACAAGGTGTTCAATAGACTCCAACGATTAATTGAGAGATACGTGTAAGCAAGGCTTAGACATCTCAATTAAAAAAAAAAAAAATAGACAACCCAATAAAAAAAAATGAACCTCCAAGATTAGTTAAGAGGTGCATGTGAGGGGGGCTTAGACACCCTAGTAAAAGAAAAAAAAATGAACATCTAAGATTAGTTAGAGGTGCATGTAAACAGCTCTGTTTTAAAACCTAGATCGGATCGGCCGGTCCAACCGGGACTCGGCCTTAACTCCGATCCGAGTTAACACAAAAACCGAAAATAACATAAATTATAATGTAATGTTATAATTAATTAGTGATCATACTATAATGTATGTTATAAATACTTATAATATTTAATAGTTATTAACAATAATGTAATGTTATAATTATTAAATTTTTAATAATTTAATTAATTACTATGTTTAATGTTTATAATAATGTCATAATTATTAAGTAATTATTTAATTATGTAATGTTATAATTAATTAAGTGATCATACTACAATGTAAATTGTAATGTTATATTAATTAAGTAATATACTATTTATTATAATGTAATATATAATTAATTAAATGTTAATAATTTAATTAAGATTGTAATATTGTTTATAATAGAATGCTATAATTAATTAAGTAATCATATTATAAATTTAATGTAATGTTAATTATAAAATTCTAACATTTAATTAAGTATTGTGTAAATTAATAAATTACTAATGTTTATAATATAATGCCATAATTAATTAAGTAACATTAATTATATAATGTTATAATTAATTATGTAATCATACTTAAGTAATATTAATGAATTAAGTAATCTACTATAATGTAATATTATAATGAATTAAGTAATCATACTAAATCAATAATTTAATATTTTAATTATTTAATTTCTAATTATTATAATATACTAATGTTTATAATGGAATGTTATAATTGATTAAGTAATCATACTATAAATATATAAGGTAATGTTATAATTAATTAAATTTTTAATCATTTAATTAAGTAATGTAAAATATGTAAATTACTAATGTTATAATGTAATGTATAAATTCATAACTAATTATGTAATCATTTAACTATATAATGCTATAATTAATTAAGTGATATAATATAATAAATAAATAATAATGTTAATTTAATTGAGTAATTATTTAACTAATGTAATGCTAATTAATTAAATTTCAGATTATTTAATTAAACAATCATTTATTTATGATGTAATGTTATAATTAATGTTTATAATATAATGTCATAATCAATAAAAATCAATGATTATGTAATATATAACTAATTAGTATCATACTATAATGAATTAAGTAAATATATAAATTAATATAATATTATAATTATTAATTTATAATATAATATTATAATTAATTAAGTGATCATTTAATATGATGTAATGTTACAATTAATTAACTAATTAAGTAATCGTCCTATAAATTTATACTGTTATAATAATTAAATTTCTAATCATTTAATTAGTATTGTGCTATGTTTATATAATAAATTAATAATTACTATGTTTATATATAAGGTCATAACTCATAACAATTAAGTAATTATTTAATTATGTATATTATAATTAATATATGACCATTATAATAAATGTTATAGTGAATTAAGTAATCAAACTATAGATCTTAATGTAATTTTAATTAATTAAATTTTAATCATTAATTAAGTAATGTAATGATGTAGTAAATTACTAATATTTATAAGTAATGTTATAAATTTATAACTAATTAAGCAATCATTTAACTATGTAATACTATAATTAATTAAATGATCATAATATAATGTATGTAATATTGTTATAATTTAATTAAGTAATTATTTAACTATAATGTATATTTAATTAATTAAGTAATCATAATTAAGTAATATTTGTTTATAATTAATGTTATAATTAATATTTATAAATAATGTCATAATCAATTAAATAATCATCTAATTATGAATGTTATATTTAATTATGTAATCATACTATAATGAAATATTGAAATGTACAATAAATTATGTAATCATACTAT